AAAAAAAAAAAAAAAACCGCTCCGGTTTCTTTCCACCTGCCGGGAGCTGGGGGGAGGGGCGCTCGGGTCCCGCCGGGCCAGGGCTTGTATCTTACCCCTTTCGCATGGCGCTGGGTTCCTGCAGGTGTGGATGTGGTCTGGATGTTGTCCTGTGTCCTCTGGTCTCTATTTTAGGAAGAGTTTTCTTTGTTATATTTTCATAGCTCTATGTGTTTTTGGGAGATTTCCACTGCTCTACTCACGCCACCATCCTAGCTCCGCCTCCTCTGTTTTTTTAATGTGCTAACAAGAAGTAGTAAAATTGGCGTTTTCTTCCTTGCACAGTCAAGTAAGACCCACCTGTAGTAAAGTGATGCACCATGACCCAAGGACTAGCAGTGTGTACAGTGACTGGCCCTTTTTGGAGTCATTTCAGGGATGACAGCTCATTTGATTGAGGGTCCGGGAGCAGCCGTGGAGGTGGAGGGTTTAGAGCCAGGCAGACCCCATCGGAGTCCTGGTTCCACCACTTACAACAATGACAGAATCACTTAACCCCGGAATCACTGTTTCCTCACCTCCCAACATATATCATAGGACTCACTTTAAACAGCTATTTGTGGATTAAAGGTGATAATGTACATGAAGCAACTATTTCTTTTCACAGCAAAACTGGGAAGTAGGGAGGTAGGAATAGCCTCATGGAAAATCTGGAAGCCAAAGTGCACAAGGATTGCATGACTTACCCAGGGCTCTGCAGTGAGGGCGCATCTCCTGTCCCCAACTCCCCTCTGACCATCAGAATCATAGCCCAGCAGCCTGTCCACTTTGACCCTCTAGATGAGGACAGACCATTGTCAATTGCCAAACTCATGATAAGAGAGTAAAATTTATCCTAGTTACCTTGTTTGGTGGGTTAATTCACTTTATTCTGCTCTAATTTCCTTGACTGTCTCCCTGTAAATGGAGACTGCCTAGTTGGGCTCTAAATGTGGGTGGTTCTTCAAACAGCTTTCTATGGGATCAATTTCTCCTGTAGTGTACAACCCCCCAAAATGCCCACCCTTTCATGGGTCTGAGAGAGAAGGCTCCCACCCTCCCCTTCAGTCATGAGCCCTTGCAGTCTTTGTAGTCAGACCAGTGGCACTGGGAGAGGATCTCTCACACCATGAAGGTGAACGACCATTGTTAAATAAGAAAACACTGCAAAAAGGCAAACAGGTCATTGTTCTCTGTCTTTTCTCTCCTGATAGCACAGCAAAGATAACAACCACCAAACCTCCAAATAAAAATATCCAGTGTCTACAGCATCCATGCTGGCAGCTTAATTAGACAAATAGGAACCCCAACAGCCCACAGGTCAAGTTCTGCCTGGAATTATTCGCCCACAGTTCTAGCAGAAATACCAGAGGCTGTTTAATCTCTAAGTAGGAGGGATTGTCATTTATATTCCAGTGACAGAGACCTGCAGGGAGTCCCCTCGGCCCTGCCATATGACCACATCCCATCCTGCAGAGCCCGAGTTTCTCAGCAAAGCTTAGGGCCCATTGGGGAGTAGTGTTGTTTCCTAACAGCAAGTGTCCTGCACGGAGCCCTATGATGGACCACAGATAGTGGGATGAGGATTCTCACACAGAAGTTGGACTCCTTCTCTCCCCTCTCCTTGTTATTCCCCCAATTGGCCACTGCCCTCTCCTCTCTCTCTCTCTCTCAGTCCGGACTGTGTCTTACATTGACCTCTTTCACTCATGAGTATTCATAACCCTGACTAATTGGCACCCACATAATTGAAGCTGTACTCCACCAGAAACTTAAGGTCTGAACTCAAGCATTACTCAGCGTGGGCATTCCCTGGCTTTTCTATATAATTCTAAGAAATTCTTGCAGGATGTGAAGTTAGGGGTGAAAAAGGTAAGGGGAAAACATTTAATGAAAACTAATGTGCCCAATGTTATACCTTGCTCGTAAGTCTCCAATCTGTGAAAACAGAGACAGTGTCCATGTGGAAGTAAACCCTCTGAAGAAAGGATCTGAGTGGACTAATTACTCATAATCTGTGCTCTCTCTTCACTTCATGTGCGTGTTGTAAAGATTGATGAGGTACTAACTGGAAACCTCTCAGAACTCCTTAGTTATAGTTACTTGCTAATAAGGTGACCCAATTACCAGCCTTTTTTGAATATTGCAACTGATAGGAAAGCTAAATCCTTATAGTATTTCTTAAGGAAGTATAACCTTCATAAAGTATTACTCTACAGCAGCCAGAGGCAGACAGGTATTAGATGACCATAAGACAAGCTATAAATAACAGACCTCTTTTTTTTTGTCATCCATTCCACTTTTCCTTTCTTCTCAATATCCCGGCCCATCTGACCTTTTCTATCATTTATCTAACTTTCCATCTCTCTCTGCTTCCCTCTTGTACTTGCTATCACTTTGTTCCTTCTCTCTCACACTGCCCTGTGGATGATTGTTTTGGTATTTACCCCTTAGTTAGGGAGTAACAGGAGTCACCCTTAGGGGGCGCTATAGCAATTTTTGTGTCTGTTCAGTTTTCTTCAGCCTTCAGGAAGCCATCTTGGATGCTTGTCTCTGGCTAACGCCAAGCCTGGCTGTTCAGAGTTTCATTTGCTGTCCTGTTGGAGGTTCTTCAGGGAGTTCTAACATGCATTCTTCCATTTCCCTGTCTACTTCCTTTCCATGAATCTTTAAGTGACTTTATAACATCCTATCTCACATTTGGAATTCAGACATTCATTGAATTTCTGAGAATCCTCTGCTGTGTCTGGCACTGCATGAGATGCCATAGGGGACTGAAGACACCATTCCTGTCTTTAAAGAGCATGTGGTGAGAACTCCACACAATAAACACAACTAGACTGTAATCAAGTGCTGAACGGACACAATTCTCTGCCAGAAAAGTGTGACAGAGGCAGGCAGGCATCGCTCTGGGCAGTCAGGAGGGACCTAGGTTAGAGTTGATGGGAAGGGCCTCATGTTAAGCAACAAGAGTAACAGGGAATGCACCCTCTCCAGACTGCCAGGAAGGCATCCTTGGAGGTCCAGGAGCTTATTGTTTTGCTTGTGTTCACATATTTCTAAAGAAAAGAGAATCCTTAGTTGATTCAAATCTCACAGGTCTGTTTAGTGTTTGGGCACCACTCACTCATGAGGCTCCCAGAGTTTTGTGTATCTGGCAGCGGTAGGGGAGACCCCTTCCGGCAGGTCCATAGGGATGTGCTCACTCCGTGGTCAGTCTCTAATTATTTCTTACTTAGTGAATCTTTGCACTAACTAGAATTCAGAGCTCAAGTTTTCTGTTTATATAGAGGTGAGCTGTGGCATCTCGATTCTCCACACAGCAGAATCATTATCCTTTCTAAATAATCCATTCCATCATGTCAGGTTAAAACATGAGCCCTGAAAAGCTATCTTTTGTCAAAGATCAGAATCTCATTAACATGATCAAATGCACTTAAGTCACTATGAGTTTTCAAGAACAGTTTAAAGGGGCTTCAATGAATGGTGTAGGTTACTCTGCATGTGGGAGATCAAGAGACTTAAATGATACCCACTTACCTTATTCACCAAATATGCCTGTGGGGAGAGAAGAGAGGGGAGATATCTGTAATCCATGCTTTCCTGCTAATCTGAAGATGATAGATTCTCACACTTTGAACTGTGACATCAAAATACACTTAAACAATACAGGTTTCTGGGGAGGAATGTGTAGAATGATAATAAGATGGGTTATAATAAAAAGTTTTTTAATTTCATTCATTATTTATTCACTCACACATTATGTTCACCAATTATATTTTGATGAACATATGATTGCCACTGGCCAAATCTATAGCCAGGTAGAAAGGCAACTGTCCATATGAGACATAAAAACTGTTCCAGCAACAGTACGTTGAATTCCTCCACCGTTGTTACTCTTTTGAATTAATACATAACATCCGAAGCTCCCCTGCTAAATGAAAATGCTTCAGGAGTATAGATAACACTGTCCAACTGACCCTGTTTATATATTGGCACAAGTTGACTTTGCAGAATAACTACCTGACACTCTGCAGAGAGCAGTGTCCTATGGAAACAAGATATTCCAAGAAGAAGTTTTGAGATAAAAGACAAAAACCATGAGTTAGAAGAGGATGGATGAAGATGCTGAGCTGATCTTATGTTTAAGGCAGAAACCAGGAGCTGAAGGAGGAGGAGAAATGCCTGGTCATAACTGTCCACCTAGCAATTGGGACTGGCTGCTCTGAAAAGCAAGCCTCCCTAAATGTCTTACTGTGTGCATCAGCTCATTGTTAAAGGTGATGAAACCAAAACTTGCTGCATTTCATGGAATCACAGAATCACAAATGTTAGGGTTCTGGAAGGAATAATAGCCATCACTTGCCCAACCCATTTGTTCTATAGATCTAGAAAATACGCATACCCAGTAAAGGGTTCAAATGCATTCTTGGCATCTTGGGAGCAGGGGAAGTCCAGGACCAGTTGGTATTTGTTGAGCTTCTGAATTGAACTGAGCCTGACTCAGGCCTTGGCCCGTTGTCAACGCTTTCTTCCAACCTCTTTCTCTGCATCCCCCCTGGGATCCTTGGGAGTTGGTTTTCTCACTTTCTGCAAAGTTCAAATGAAGAACCTTGTAGTTTATATTCTCATGGGTAGTAAGGAATGAGGGGTCCAATAGTTTGGCTCAGTAAATATTCGTAAATGATTACTATGTACCAGTGGGCACCAGGCTCAGAGATGAGAGACTGACTGTCCCTGCCTTCAAGGAGTTTACAGTCTGGAGGGGACACAAAAGCCGTCCACAAAATGAGGTTGGTGATAGAAGAGCTTCACAAAGCAAGGCCTCAAGGGACCCAGGAAACCCTTGGGACCCAGCAAGGTGAGGCTTAGAGAGTTCTTTATCAGAGACAGTTTGGTGTGGGGCACAGTGTTTCCTAAAAGGAGTTGAACTATTTAAACATTTTAATAAGCACAGATGTAGTGTAATGTCTGTTATTAAAGTAGAATTGATATCAAACCTGTGAGTTTTGTAGAGATGTAGTTTCCTTTTGAAATTAATTAAAACCTTAAAAAGAGTCAGTTTAAAGAAAAATATGAGGTAAATAATAGTGAAGGCAGTACAAATATATGGCAAAAATAAGGACGGTAGTCTGGGAAAATATTTAATGTTTATTGAGGGTTTACTATGTGTCAGGGATTATTCTAAGGGACTGGGTCAGCAAGCCGTTTCTCTTAAGTCCCAGTAGCAAATATTTTAGGCTTTGCAGACCATACATTCTCTGTGAGAACTATTCAGTTCTGCTGTTGTAGCAGGAAAGCAGCCATGGATGGCAGGTTGCAGTCTGAAGCAGCTGCAGTGCCTGGCGGCTGGGTGCCAGAAGCTGGTAGGGAGCAGCCAGCACTGGGGTGGTGCTAACCCCTGGGGTGATCGTGTCTCCTGAGGGACCCCTTGCCAGACATGAACAGGCCTTCTCAGGAGGAGCAACACAAATGAGGAGCATCAAGCCCTTTCTTTTTTTCCCCTTAAGGTATCATTTATATACAATCTTATGAAGGTTTCACATGAGCAACATTGTGGTTTCAACATTCACCCATATTATCAAGTCCCCGCCACACCCCACTGCAGTCACTGTTGATCAGTGTAGTAAGATGCTATAGAGTTGCTACTTGTCGCCTCTGTGCTATACTGCCCTCCCCGTGACTTGCCCTATATTATGTGTGCTGATCATAATGCCCCTGAGTCCCCTTCTCCCTCCCATCCCACCCACTCTCCCTAACCCCTCCCCTTTGGTAACCAGTAGTCCCTTCTTGGAGTCTCTGACTCTGCTGCTGTTTTGTTCCTTCATTTTTGCTTTGTTGTTTGTTATACTCCAAAAATGAGTGGAATCATTTGATACTTGTCTTTCTCCACCACATCAGGCCCTTTCTTGTCAGGAAAAGGCTGGTGGAAAAAAGCTAATCATTTGTGGGTGATCTAATCTCAGGGTGCTGGTTCATGGGCTGCGGCCCCAGCTGGCAACCCAGCCCGGCCTCCCAAGCTGGCTGGCTCCCTCCTGCCTCCTGCCACTGGTTTCTACTTGACCCAGGACCCTGACCTCAGAGTTGGTAGGGGTGGGCTGCAGAGGTACCAGAACACCTGGCTTCTAACCCCTTTGCCACCCCAAAGTGCAGATTGGGCACTTCCCCAGTCTGGGCTTCAGTTTCCCCATCTGTCAATTGAGAACTTGGGCTAGAAGTTCTCCAAGGGCCTTTTGACCATCAGCCCCAGATGGAAGGACCACCCAACCTCTCCCCCTGGGTACCTGGCTCCACACCTGCCCTGCCCACTCCACACCCCACCTCTCATTCTCGCTCCTTTACATCCCAATGCCCCGCTTCCAGGCCCTTTGCCCCTACATTTCTCATTCCAGGGCCTCCCCTGGGCCTCAGACCCATCTGTCAGATGCTATGGGACACCAACTAATTGCTCAAGTGTTTTCACTGCACCTGCTATAACCCAGGCCCTGAGCTGGGGTCAATCAGGCTCAGTCCCTGCCCCGGGGCCACCAGGCAGGGGCGCAAAGCCGCAGGTTATAGGCTGTCTCCATTCAGATGTCCACGCACTGGATGTCTGTCAACCACACCTGCTGCCTCCCAAGGCCCTTGCCCCTCACACACACACATCACAGTTAATGCCCGACAGTGCCCCAGGCCTTCATTCTTCTCAGAGATGTGCTGATTGTACACCTACTGTGTGCTCCAGGCAAGGAATACTACCAAACAGGGAAGATTCACGTTAATGACACGTATTATCCCCGGGGGATGACACGCATTTTATGGCTGCGCACTGACTGCCCGGCTCCTTGTCACGGCTTCCAGAACTATCCCATCCAAGCCCCTGCCCTCTGGGAGGCAGTGCAGAACAGAGACCATCATCCTCCCACGCGGATACCTGAGGCCCAGTGAACAGGTGACCCGCCCACAATTACGCACGGACCCTGAGGGAGCTGGGACTCTGTGCCCACGGTCACGCTCTGGTCCCCAGCCCTGTCCTGCCATGTGCTGGTGGGCTTGTACGCGGGCTCACACATTCTGCTCACACTCGTTACTCCCGCCCCTACCTCACTTGGACAAGGAGAGCCTGGTTACCTCCATCTACCCCGAGCAACCTGGGGCTTGCCTGAAGCTCTGGCCGGGTGGTGTGATTCCACATCCCATCCCTGGGCCATCCAATCCCCCAATCCCCAGGTCCACCGACTGGTGATGGGAGTAGCCCCTGGGACATGTGGGTCTAGCCGGCTGTGTGATGCTGGGCAGTCCGCTTCCCTTTCCTGGGCCTCAGTCTGTGCCTCCAATCAAGATGAAGATGCCCACAGCACCCTGCACCTTCCTCCCGCACAGAGCAGTGGTAGGAGGTGAGAACCAAGCCACAGAGGAGCCTTTCTATCCAAACCCTACCTTGGCCTTGGGCCTAGCTGACCACCTTTCCCCTGAAGCCTCAATCACATCATGGCCAGCAGCAGCAGCAGCTACATGTGATGCCCAGTGCTATGTGGTTTGTGTTCTGTAAGCATAATGGCACTGTCTCCATTTGACAGATGAGGATACAGATGCTCAGAAAGGCTGAGTAACTTGCCCAAGATCACACAGCCTGAAGAACATGACGCAAGCTTCAAAGCAAGCAAACGTGCCCAACACCCATACGACTTCCCCAGCAGCCCCTGTGGCAAGGCTCACAGCCCAGGACTGAATGCAGACTGGCATGTAAATGCACACAAACTGTCTCCTCTGACTCTTACCAGCTGGCAAGGGGCTTCAAGATGGGCGGGGCCTCCTGTCTGAGGACACAGGTGGGCTTTCTGGAGGGGGCTTTCCAGAAGGGACCCCAAAGATATGGAGATCTCATTTTCTGAGCCTAAAATCGGCCTCGGGAAAGGTCCTGTGTTGCCAGGATCATGAGCCCTCCGGGATGCTGGGGAAGGTTATGGAGACAGCAGGGGAGAATTCCTGAATCCAGCTCTCTGTGCAGACACCAGGTTCTGGGGAGCGCCATTGTGTCTGCAGACAGTGAGCCAGAAAACAGGAGCAAGCAGAAACTGGATTCATGACCCAAAAGGAATCTCAGGTGAAGCCTGGTTTGAGAAGTCACTCCTCTTCCTAAGTTCTGTCCCTGCTGAGGTACAGATCAGCAGAGAAGGGCCCCAGGCCCTGCCCCTGGCAGCCCCAGGCCCCCACTCACTGGGCTCTAGGCCTTCAGAGAACCTTCCTCATGGGGCTGACACAGCTCTGAACTGGCTCCGAAGACCTGAGGTGCCACCATACGTACCCTTCCCTGACGTCCATCCTCACAGAGGTGTGCAGAGCCCTGGCAGAAGAGTGGACACAGCTCATTGGCAATGACTCAACATAAACACCAGGATAAACTGGAGCCTGCATCACTGACCCTGGGTTCATCCCTCCCAGGAGGGCTGCATGCCAAGACATCCCCTTCTGCCCCCTCCCAGGGTCTCTGGGGTCTCTCAGGTTCTTCCACGTTGTCAGCCCCACCCTGAGTACTGTGTCTGTTGGGATTTACCTGGATTCATAATGAAGTTCAA